TGGATTATGAATCATGATTCCCTGGCCATTTAGTCTATGTTTATTGTGAGTTAGGACAAGACACTTGATACTAACATTATGTCTCTCAGTATGGAGGAGATATTCATTCATTAATGGTAAATTGTTTGAGTAACTTTCCAAAAAAAGATGTTGGTGGCACTCTTAAGTGGAAATTCAGGTTTACTTGCAATATTAGGGAGTTTAAGTGACCACGATGGCGATGCCGAAGACAACGTCGATTAAAAAGGGACTTTATATTTTACGTACGCATCTCGAGATACTCTAAAGTCATTTACTTTGTTTATCACTGACAAAACTTTCATGAAACTGAATCTGGGACACAGCTGTAAACTTGAAATAAAAATTTAAAAAATTAGCCATCGTGGTTCACGTTCTCCAGACAATGCAGAATTTGGTCATTTTGCGTTGTTGTTTTGCCGAGGACGGTAAAGAAATGTACCAAGAATTATAATGCACGTGCAGAGCCATTGTTCTGTTCATTAAACCTTTTGTTTAGCGACATTCCCGTTGCCGTTGCCATCGTGGTTTTCTTAAACTCCCTATTGTAAGCAGTATTATACTTGGCTACAGAAGTCTCTGACAGAAATAGACTATAACTGTTAATTTCCTCCAAAAGGTGCTCTCCATTTCAAATGAAGGTGAGGTGGTCTCATGGTTAGTGGGCTCATCTCCAAATTGAGTGGTCTGGGTTCAAGCCCTGGCTGGGGACACTGTGCTGTGTTCTTGGACAAGACACTTTACTCTCACAGTCCCTCTCTCCTCTCAGGTGTATAAATGGGTGCTGGCAAATTTAATGCTGGGGGGTAACCCTGCGATGGACCAGCAGGGTTACCCCCCAGGGTTTCTACTCCCTCTTAAGAAGAAATACTCCTAGTCGCTTCATTCCACAGAAACTGGTTAAGGTTTCTCAAGGTTTATGTGATTATCCTTCACCAGTCTTAAGGACCTTGCAGTGATTTACAGGGATAATCAAGGATCATTGTGGGATATCCTTCAAAGAATTTTTTTATATCCTGGTGAAATCCTCATCAAATTCTAGGATCCGAGCAGAGATCTTTGCAGAACATTATGATAAGATTGTTGCAAGATCCCCATCCTTGAATGGCTTTGAACAGGGAGAGTCACTTGGGTAGTGGGGTGTCTTACCCAAGAACACAGCACAATAACTTGAGCTAGGGCTTGAACTTGATTGCATGATAAAGAGATCAAGGCACCTACTTCTAATTTTTATTGGTAGAATTCTAATATTATACTAATGCAAATGCTGCAATCTAATTGTCTGGGCTACTTGTATTCTATCAGCCATTAGAATGCAGTGGCTGGAGGTCGTCTGTAAAATAGTGACATTTTCTTGTTATTATGGAAGAATGGATGATTAAATTCTGGAGAAGACTAAACTGAAGGCATTCATGGTTTTGTGACTGTAAAAAAATTAAACATGTTGAAAAAACTGATGTGTGCATATACACAACAGGAAATTACAAACAACAGTTCAGTCTGCATGATTTTTGTAAAGTGTAAAGTTAAATATGATGTACAGAAACAATTGGAAATGGTTAGCTGAAAAAAATTTAAGTAAGAACTGATACTAAAACAATTAGATAATTCACTCGTGATTTCTATTTAAACAATAGTGAGTGTTTCTGTTGAGGAACTATTGGCTGATATTTGCCCCGCAGAAATTTGATGTTCTTAAAACAAATATTTGCCTGAGAAGTGAAGCTTTGAGGGCAAATATGCTAGTTTTAAGAACATCAAATTTTCAAGGGGCAACTATCAGACGGATAGTTTTGAGACATAAACACTCTATTGTCTTTATTGCTCACCACTAAAGTTTCTTCTGCGCACCAGTTCAAAAATGATATTGAATTATTTTCAACTTTTTTTTAGATGAAAGCAGTGAAAGCCAAATGTAAAATTTGAAAATGAAAACAGGCAAAAACGCTCTAAATACAATTTCAATTGTTTATTTTCTATAAACCTGTTTGTTTACAGAAACATTTTCACAGACAACCACTTTAATCCATCCGGGTATTTTCCTTGGACGGGCACTGTCGGCTGATAGTGTCTTTCTGCGAATGAACACTATCGCCAATAAGAATTGGAGAAAATTTAGTGGTAAACTATGAGAGTTGATAGTTGATTAGGCCTTCAGCCTTATAAACTATCACTTCATAGAAATCATCAGCTCATAATTGAGTTGTTAATAAGTTTAATTATTAATCATTAATATTATTAATTAAATTATCCTTAAAAATTTCAGCTTTCCTGATGCTTTTGAAAGAGGATTGGATGATGGAGGTAAAGGTACTGTCTTGTCATTTGCCGAGCTCATGCAGTGTGTGGGTGTCCATAATCTCCGACACAGCTGGGACAGTGCTTTGGACAGTTATCCTTGGGCTGCACACTGTGTCCTTCCAGCTCCTGTGGGGAAAACATCAGATAAGGTAACACTACCTAGAATATCCCTATCTGTTTACATTTATATCTAGACTTGCCTCAAGTCAGTTCTTAGAGTGACTATGAAACCAAATCAAAAAGTTGCATAAAATAGTTCTGGGCTATACAATGTAGATGAGAATGTTTTGAGTATAAAGTTTACAATTCTACTTTTACTTTTCTCCATCAACCTTCGTAAAAACATGCCATCAAAGGAGACATTTGTTTGGTGGCCATTGTGATTTTAAGACATCATTTGCACAACTCGTGTCAGTTTTAAAAAAAGTCAATATTAGATACTGTGGAGATAGTAATGGTGGATAAAAAGCTTGCGCTACCAAATGAGGAGGGAAAAAGTCTTTTAAAAGGAGGTTATTCCAAAAAGCTTAATTTTTTCTCCACCTATAACAAGTAAACATTGTATTTTTTTTTCCACTCACTGAAGTTTCAACCTCTAAAGACGATTTTATGCTCCTACTATCCTGAAGAAATTCGTCTTGAAAGAAGCCCAAAATTTGACTTTGGAGGTCGCCATTTTGAAACTGTACTTGGCAGCCAGGTCGTGTTTATGTGACATCATTCGATCCAACTTGAAATTGGTGGGAAGCAGAAAAACCTGCAACTGACTTGGCATCCTTCACAAGGTCAGAAAAAAATTATTTCCAGCTGATTATTGACTTCACTATCTTCACTGCTATCATTTTTGAGGTTTGGAACATGTTTGGCTCAAAATAATGTGGCTCAAGAGCAGCCATAACCTAAATGGAAGTTAAAAGGCTTCTTGGAAGCTGTTGGACAAAATCTCTTGGATGGAACAACCTCACAAAAATGAGGCCTGGCTGCTTAGTACTGTTCAAAATGGTGGCAACAATGTAGAATTTTGGGCTTCTTTGGAGGTGAATTTTTTTAAAAAAAACCTGCACCTTAGGGGCTGAAACTTTGGTGAGTGGCTAAACTTAGAGCGAGACTTTTATCAGCATTGACTAAAAAAATATGTTTTTCTGGAGTGACCTTCTCCCTTTAAAGGTTCAATTGTCTGCTTCTTTGTTGTATGGTCTTTTGTAAACCACCTTCTTGCAATCCCAATTCTTTTTTTTGCTTTTCTAATTAACTTGACAACTGATTTTTTAAATTTTGGCCCAAATATCTTTATTTCTGTTGAAACAGATTGCATTTCATTGGCACTTTAAATGATTTGTTACAGCAAACAGTTTTTGATTCTCGCAGAATAAGCAAAATGGTTCCAGTGGTGGATCCAGACCTTGAGCTAAGGGGGGGGGGGGGGGGG